AAACAGTCCAGAGAGGTGGGGAGGACTATCACAGAAGACTGGAAAAGGTGTCAGGAAAGGAGGACAGCAATCAGAGACCAAGTGTTCAGGGGAATGTGAGGATGGTGACTAAGGATTAGTTTGAGACTGATTACAAGCAATTACGTTACAAATCCAGTCTAGCTCCAGTTGCAGGCAGAAAGGGGTAAAGAAAGGAAGCATCTAATTGTTTAGTAGCTGAGAGATGAGATAAAATCAAAGTTTTAGAAGTGAACTATTGAGATATCAGACATAACAAGCAGACCTTGATACAAATACTCCTGATCAGCCATGAAACCCAACAAAATACATGTGAAGATCTGTTCTATCTGCAGAGAGATGCCATCAAACAGCAAGTGTTCAGGGTAAACACCTAGGGCAAACCTTGGGAACAGACCCCAAGACACATACACTTTCACCTTAGGACGTTAAGAACACTTCTAGTTTTTATATTGCATGATAGATATTGATTCGACAAATAGCTATAGAGCACTTTCAAAGAGCTAGATGTTATAAATCTATAGCTCATCCTTTCAGCCGTTTGATAACTATTAATTTAGTATTCACTGTATGCCAAGCACTGTGTTAGGAACAGGATTTCTAGGAAAGAAAGGAATGTCGTGAAAGAAAGGCAGAACGACGAAAGGGAAGAAAAGCGTACGGTAAAGGGAAGCCCAATCTCAAGGGAGGATTTAATTTTTCATTGGAGATTCAGAGGCCCGTTGAAAGATTAAGATGAAGGAACTGAGGGTGGGGTTAGGGTAATAGAGTAGTGAGTCACGAATGGAGCCAGAGCCCAAAGGAAATGTGAGGGGAGGGAAGTGTAAAATATCAAGATGTGGATTTTCCTTTGAAAGAATTTCTAAGCTCATAAGGGAGCTAACATATATAAAATTTATAAAAATATAAAAAATGAGAAACATTTTACCAGAAAAATCTAGGATTCAGAGTTAGGATGAGTAACAAAAATGAAGTTTGGATGACTTCATGTCGTCTTCTGAGCATAGTAAAAATATTAACCAGAATTCTAGAAGAAAGTAGTAGTGCTGTTTGACTTCAATCCACTGTGAATAAGGAAAACCTCTGGGTGATACAAGGAAACTTATTGTTTAGACTGAGCATCAGACTAAGAAGTCAGTATCTACAAGCCTTATGATTCCTCAGGTCAAAGTGTTAAATCTTTGTGAAGATCTAAAATGCAACCAGAGTAAAAATCCTAGGTTAAGACATTTAGACAAGTATAGGTTATTTAATTACTTTAAAGTTAAATTTAATTCACATAAACATAAGGGCAGGGGATGAAATGAGAAGTATTGATAAGAAGACAGCTAGAGTTTTTTTATACTAAGCTATGATCTTTAAGAAACAGGATATGGTGAAAGTAAGAAAGAAAAAAAAATAACATTGATAAGACAGCTGCTTTGGAAAAAAACAAAACAAAAAAAGAATCTCTGAAAGACCTGAGAAATCAATAGTCTGCATTGAAAACTGTTAAGGACAGACTAAGCCCACTGCTGCTCAGATCTAATGCACCCCTGATTTTGAATTGAAATCTGTGCTGTTCTATTATTCTAAAAACTCTAGGATATTCAAGGACTTTGTCAAGGACATTAACTTAGAAACAGAAACCCAACCCTGTAGTTGCTAAATGCTTGGTGAAGGCTGGTAATGCAAAATATCTTTCTCCCTCAGTGATTGGGAGTTTATTCTTTAGGCAGTGGGGAAAGTGACATGATCAAAGCAGCTTTATAGGAAGGTTAAGTACAAGGGTGATCTATGGAATGAATGAAGGAAAGAAGTGGGAAGACTATGGCATAAAAAGTCATTAAAATCCAGTTACAATAAATTAGGAAATAAAGATCTGTGGTGGCAGATGAACTGGGGCAAACAGGGAGGATATTGATCTCGGTACACACTTGGATTTGAAAATCAGTGACAAGGGAAACACTAAAGAAAACAAATAGTATGATTTAATATAGTTTGAACAAGTTGGAAAATTTTGTTTTGGAGTGATAAGGAAGGATAGAAGATAGATTTTGGTTAGATTTTATATAAGGAAGCCAAGAAGATATTCAGGTGGAAATAGTCACAGGTCACTAGGCTGGGATTCAAAGGATGAACTAGAGATTCTTTATTTGAGTGTCATTTAAATGGTTCTCAATTAGGGTTAATTTTGTCCCCCAAATGATATTTAGCAATGTCTGGAGACATTTTTGGTTGTCACAACTGGTAAGATGTTGCTATTGGAATTTGGTGGGTAGAGGTCAGTGATGGTGTTAAAATATTCGCAATGTGTAGAACAGCCCCCTACAACAAAAGATTATGTGGCACCAAATGTTGATAGTGCCAAGGTTAAGAAACTCTGCTCATAGATGTCATAGTACATTAGGGATATCTTGTCCAATCAGTGTATATAGTATATTTACATTCAATTTAAATTTAATTTATAGAAAATAAAAATAGTATCAAACATTTAAGTCTTACTCTATTTCATGCATTGTCCTCACATTACATGGTTTATTTAATCTTTTGAATGCTGTAAGGCATATATTACCTTTATCCTCCTTTATAGGTTAGGAAACAGATCCACTAAAAAATTAAGATACCTGCCAAAAGCCACATAGCTGGCAAATTTGGGGGCCCAGATTGCAATCAAAAAGTCCATTTTCAGAACCATGATTCTAACCACTAAGTTGGAGCATACAGCCATTATAGGTATGGTACCCTCAACACCATGGCAGACAAGAGAGAATTACACAGAGCAAAATATTATACTGCCTTCATCCTTCTCCCCAAGCCAAACTAAACCAAAACAAATCAAACAAAACAAAAGCACTCTCTCAAATATTAATAGCAATGTCTTTCTCTGTCACTGAAGATTCCATTATGCCATTGATACATTTGAGACACTGAGCATTTTGTCTTGGAGGAGGGTTTCAGGTGGGGGAGGAGACCTTGAGCTCTATCTAAAGCAGCAGTTTTGACAATCTTAGCATTTGACATATGATGTGTCCAGATGCACTGCATCTAATTTATGAGTAATAATAAAGAGCCAAATTTTCCTAATGTAATTTTTACTATATAAATTAGAACTGAGTAAAAATTAGTACTATAGTAATATATATCATATTTTCTTACTTTCTACTATGCTTTTTGGGGGGCCAAAGAAAGACATAAATTTAAAGCTAATGACATTGGGGGTGGCACTGAATGTTCACATGTAAATGTCCCCGTGATTCAGAAGACTGAAATGTATTTGTTGAAAATTACCAATTTAGGGGCGCCTGGGTGGCTCAGTTGGTTAAGCGACTGCTTTCGGCTCAGGTCATGATCCTGGAGTCCTGGGATCGAGTCCCACATCGGGCTCTCTGCTCAGCAGAGAGTCTGCTTCTGACCCTACCCCTCTCATGTTCTCTCTCTCATTCTCTCTCTCTCTCTCACTCTCAA